AAAAACTATCATAAATGTAAAAAAAATATTCGTATTTTGCTATCTTAAAGTTAAAGAGATAAGCTGTATTTTATCCAGAATCTGAAGAATCTATTCCCGTAGGATCTAAGTAGCGTAAAACAACTATCGTATCTCGGTATCTCGCTTCTCATCAGTTTGCGCGAAAACAACATCAAGGAAGTAGAACTCGCCGAAAGCGCCGATACGCTCACGCTTGATGCTTTCATAATAAGCCGTAAATTATGGCAGCTGCAAAATTATGACGAGAGTTAATCGAGAGGACGCTCTTTTTCTCGGGAGCGATAAACAAGCATGGTAGCCACGAAAGTTTTGCCCGGGCACGTCCGCGAATGTAAACAGAAGTGAAACGCAAATAGGAGCAATTATAATTCCGAGCGCCAAGCAAAACCACGAAGTTTCATTTGGATTTACAAAAGAAGCGCCGCTTCGAACGAGAGAGGGACTCGCGAAATGTGCCCGCAAAAATGAGTCGAAAAACCGGCAGATTTATCAGAATTTTTTACACGCGCATTTTATATTCGGATTAAAAATTGTATTTTTTCAGATAAAATAAAAATCTTCCTCAAAGTTGAAATTAGAATTAATGTATAACATGTATATTTTGTGAAATCCCATCAGCACGGTATAGTCATTAAAAAGTTAAAGTATATGAAAAATTAATTATGCCATGCCATCCCATATTTTCACGAAGTTTTTTCCGGAATGAAGTAATACACGCGATGATGCAGTATGAATAATTCATTGGCCCGAGAAATTAAATCACAAGATCGTCGAATTAAATTTAATTAACGCGCGCATACAATTAACGCATACCGTAACGATAACGGTAAATTACGAGACACAATGCGCGGATACGGATAAGAAACCAATCTTCAAACGGAGTTGCGTAACTCCGACAGCGCAGTTGCGAAAGTCGATGGCGATTCGTGCGGCTGTCGTTGCGGGGGAGAAGCGTCCCCGACAGTGTTTTGCGATTATTTTTGCACCGCCGTCTCCCCGACCAACCGTCAGGCGATAAAATAAAGTTGGAGGTTTTTAAAGAGGAGAGCGGTAGCGGCAAGAACAATATATATCAGCGAGGGGGATATAAAAGGGAAAGACGACGGCTTTTCTCCCTCTTTCTCTCTTGCCCTTTTTCTTTTCTTCTCTCTTGATCGCTTTTCTTTGCCGAGATGACGGCTCGTACTAGGTGCTAGGTACTTTTGGGCCTGAATTTATGGCCTGCCACCCGTAAATGCGGAGCAAATGCGATTGAGTACGTCCACTCTATCTCGGGCTCGTATTAACACGAACATGAGTTTCGATATGGGAGATTCTTCGCGCACCGATGGTGAATTACGGAGCAAAAATCAGTAATTAAGTTAACGTTATTAATAATTACAGTTAATGCGTAGTCAATTTCTGATTATAACTCGATTGAACATATTGTCAGCTTTTTCCGCTCGATCGAGCTCCACGCACAAGCAATTCCGTCTGCTTAATTATTAATTAATTCAGCTATGACGTTTGAAATTCGGGATATAGAGAAATAGCTTTCTAATTTTGGTCGATTAAGCAAATCAGTCGGACGTTTCATTGCAATATACCGTAACCATTAATTGCAGCTATAAGTTACGCATGGTGATTTTAATCAATATATTTGTACGTAACAAAAATAAAATAGTTTTCTTTTTAACACAATTTATCGAACATTTCCGGATTGCAAAATTAATACCAGGATCGGATAATATCAGAAATTTCGCGCAAATGTAAAACTTTTATTCTTACAAATTATATTTCGCGCGAATCGTATTCGGCAAAAAGCGTTATTGTACATTGGAGTTCAGTTCCGGCCGATTAAGCAGCCGTTGTTTAATTGTGCTGCAATTAGGCGCTGTCGATACGCTCCTCTGCGGTGCATTTTATTGCGTTTAATTCGGTAGAAAGAGAACTGCAAAAGGGAATTCGCGATATACGGACGTGATACAGCGTTGAAATATGCACACTGCATTAGGACGAAGATCCATTATTGGGGCTCGAAGTGGACGCGACAATGACGGATTAAGCAAGTACCGTCAACGTAATTTGATAATCGCACGCCGAGGGAATGGTACACGGAGATTGGTATCCATCTACATAGATAATTAAAACTCGCCGCGTATACGAAATCAGCAGTGCCGCTCATCTCGTGACGCGAAAAAAATCTCTGCCCCAGTTCGCGCTTATTTAAATATTTCTGTAAGAAACCGTATTGTTCCCAACTTGGTTCCCAACTTCTTCAGTTTCTTGTGATCGGGAGACTGGGCGACAGGGACTGGTGCCAAGTGTACAATAAATAATACTTCTGCGAAAGTTATACCTGAAGGATACCGCTATATCTTTATGAGATATGGACTTTTGAAACATATATAAGTTCTACAAACTGTATTTTTCTATTTATATTATTGATCTAATTGATAAGAGAGTATGGAAATCGTACGTACGTACGTCCCGCTGACGTTCTCACTCTTTGAAAGATTAAAATACTTTGAGCGATTTGCATGAAAGATTTATTGCGCAGGCTTCGCAAGAAACTTCGTCTCCGCAAATTGTCCTCTTAGAAGCTGCGCGTGTGCTCCGAGTCCGAGTAATTCGAGCTATTCTACGCTAATAGAAAATGAATAAGAGAAACTTAACGCTGGAGAGAGAGAGAGAGAGAGAGAGAGAGAGAGAGAGAGAGAGAAATAGTTTCCGCGCGTTGTATTAATTGCATGCGAGAATTCGCGAGATAGTTTTTCCAAAAATTTCACGTACCGGAGATTGTTTCGCAAACTCGAAATAATAAGAATTAATTTCTGGGGAGCTTCTCTAGAGAAATTTTTACTTGTATCGAGTTTTTAGGCTTATTTTTTATGTTAAGAATGTAAAATTAAAGTCTATACAATATAGACATTACAATATGTTCGTAAAAGAAATAAATTTAGTGCATTCGATGCAAAGTTAAAAAAGTATCTCTATACGACTTAAATTTATTAATCGAAGCTCTATTAATGCTCAATCTAAAAAGTTATGTCAGTAGAATAACTTACGGTGCTTCTAATGGCATTATTTCTCGGATTTTCCCGCATGCAAATGCGATTAAAAGTACGTCGTTGCTAATGGAAAGTAGAGAGACGTAGACGAGGCTTGAAAACTGAATGAAAATGCGATGAGGGAAGAAGGCGATAAAATAACATCTTTGTCTATAGATTCCGCGGTTAGAATACGAACGTGCTTTTTGAGAGCAAACTTGTCACAAGTGTCATAATATAAATTGAATATGACTGCAAACAGTTTCAGAAAAAATGTCGAAGTTTTACTTATAAGAAACAATTGAATACACCAGAGTTAAATGTGCCAAATGCTTACGCAACAATTTCCAAATAATTTTGAAGTTTCCATATTAAAAGCATAATATTGCCTGTTGTGACTTTCCACTGTTCAGTTTTAGTCCGACTTCGCGCGTTAGGTCAAAACTAAGCAGACACTTAAACTCATTGACGTCGCTTTTAATTACAGAAAATAATAATTGTAGAGAACCTTTTAAAATTTTGCCTGAATTTACAATTCTCAAGTGTTTTCAAATGCTTTATACGTTAGCGAGAAAATATTGTATATATATTCCCTTACGATTTATCGTTATTTAGTTAACAGTTTCCGAACTTGATAATCAGATCGAAACTAAACGGCATCGGCACTTAACGCCGCTTTTGGTCATTAGGAACGATACCGAAGGCACGTGTAAGGGGTTATTAACTTATTACGTCGTCCCGATAAATATAGGCGTCGAGGAAACGTAGGAAAACACGACGCGATCCTCTGCGTCACGTTGCCAGCTGGCCCAACCAACCGGCCGTCTCTATTCTCTGCCACGTCGCGTGCAACGATAATCATAGTCGATCGGTAGGCGAGACGTTGCTTGTTTTAGATCTTTGCTGCTGCTTGCCTGTGAAATTTAGCGGAAACCCGCAATCGCACCGGAGAAAAGACGGAAATCTTCTGGAAAATGATTACGAATAACAAGCCCGTTCATCGGCCTAGGCACCCGGAAGACGTGTAAATTATATCTTTGAGAGCGTCTTTAATAAGTCCTGTCACCGACATGCCATCTTCCGGAAATATGTTTCCTCGAGAAATACGAGAATCGCTTTCTCAGGTCGACGTAACGGCGCGGTTGATGCAACGAGCGTCGTGCATTACGCTCAGTTTGTTCCGAGGCGCGATGGATCGCAGGGAGGACGATGATAATCCTTCGGGGGATAGTGAGCATGTATGACACAAACAGCGTCGACTGGCGCTTAACGTTGGGCTCTTGGGTATACAAGCCGTTCGAATGCAAATATTGAAGGAGGATTAATATTCGACATCTTTTCCAACGTGTGATGCCCTCTGTAAAAGGAGGAGAAAAAATATATGCATAATAAATTATCTATTAAATTCCATAAAAAATCATTAAAATGTTTTATTTTATTATATTATAAAAAAGTTTGTAATGGTAGAATGCATCCTGACAATAAGAATTAGTATTTTTTTGGTAGAATTGTCAGAATTTACTCATGAAATATGAAAAAAATTACTACTAATATTATTTTTCTTATTTTAAAGTGTTCAAAATAGAGCCACCTTTAATTTCAAAATGTTTTTAAATTCTGTGCTGTCTTAAAGTTATCTACTCAATTATAAGAACTAGAAATCAATAGTTCCTCTTTCCTTCCCTCCCTTTCTCTCTCTTTTTCTCTTTCTCTTAAGAAAGTAATATTGTCATATCGCTATAAAGACGGTACTTGAACGTTTCAAAAGCTCGAAACCATGATCTGACATAAAATAAATAAATACGATAGAAACGATTTATCAAAAACAAATTATCTTCTCCTGCGCGTAGTTTATGCAACTCGTAGATATAACGTTATTTTTCACATTTTATAAAACATATCCTATTTGTATCTTTATTAATTTTGTCTCTCTCTCCTTTGATTTTGCAGAGCATGTCATCGCTACGAACGCAGTCGACCGGCGGCGGTGTTCTTGGTTTGAGCAGCGTCGGTTCCGATCGTACGGGCGCGGCCTCGACCGCCGCCGGTTCCCACTCGCATTCTCACTCGCACAGGAAGCATCATCATCACCATAGAAGCAGAAGCGCGCCCCGAGCACCGGAGAAACCGCCCAGAAAGCGTCAGCTACATCCCGGACAGAGTCTCGCCTCTATTCCCAGTCAGATTAAGTTGTCTATGCTGAACAGCGGCCTCATCTCCTTCGGTGAGACGACTCGATCCCCCGTTTCTCCTTAATGAATTACTCCGGCCTGACTGCCTGGTCTCGCCCAGATTAATCCCAGATAATACTAACGATTAAAAGACGTCTTAGACGAGTATCTAAAAAGACGATTTTCCTGATCGCTCTTTCTTTTTTTCCCTTGTTACAATTTACGCGTGCAACTTGAGTGCGCGCTACGCAAACGAATGACAAGCAACAAAATTTGCTCACGGGATGAGCTGCAGCCGAGTTAGAAAATAATCGACGCAATTCTAGTTGCAGCGTTATCTCTTACCCTCGACGAAAAATGAAAACCTAAATCCGATTTGCGATATCGAATGACACTAAACGTAATGAATTATTGACACAGCCGAGACACGGTATTGATTACCGTGTACTTTATATATTTTTCATATCGACATGTTAGATTTGTATTTACTTTATCAGCCGTGATCATCGTGAGCACGGTAAAGCTGCAAAACAAAATGAATATTTCATCACAATCAAAGCGAAATGTATTATTTTTGTAAATACACTACTGTATATACCATTGTGCGCACTGAAATTCCGCGCGTCTCCGCATCAGTATATCGTAAATCGTAAATGCACTCTCCATCGAGTCGAAATAAATTTTATGCATTCAGGCCACGGAATCTGAAGGCACACCACTCAACGACTGCGCAATCGACACTAAAGAACATCATGCGCATAATTCGATGAAACTGAACGCTCTCTCTGTCGAGGCCTTTCGAAGCGTATTAGAGGCTTTTATCGTCGAGCTGACTGCCTTTTCGTCACCGTATCACTTTATAAAACTTTTCCTTCCGACGCTACGCAACTGGGATTGAAAAAGAAAGCTCGATTTCTACTCTCTCACATTTCTGATTGATTTCCGGTCACGGCGATGGACGATCAAAGCACGTGTATTGAGCTTGAGACGTGCGATTTTTTTTTTAATTTTCAAGTTTTAATTACTTTTCTCTTTCTGTTTCTCTAAGTAAAGTCTCTAGTACAAGCTGAGAAAATCGAAGTCTTCTACGGCATTATGTTCGCGTAGTCTTTCGACTGTGAACGCTCGAGACTCTTGAGAAAAGCCTCATAGTGTTCAAAATATTCTCGAAGCTCTCAGATCTTTTCGAGATCGCGCTAAGACTTAAGGGTGGTTTTCGAGAGGTTGAAAAAGCGTTCTAAAAATTTCCGCAAGTCTGGGAAGTTGAAATACATTTTGCGACACGCGCCTGAGATCACCGTAAATATATAAGCATGCACTTCTGTCCCGGAACGCTCGAGGATGCAGAAGTGCTCGAGAATATTTTCGACAAGAACGAGATTACGATGTAATATTAGGGTAAATTTCCTTTTACGTCGCATTAACATTTTACTGGATTTTAGAGCGCTTTTCGATATATTCACGATGGAAACGTGCTATCGATTTGAACGACGAATCTACCGTTGTTACCAAGTCAATACGTAAACATCGGTAATTCGAACGCTCTCGCATGCCGCCTCTTGATCTATATCCCTAATGAAAGCCTAAGGTATCGATAGTCTCGAATTCCGTAGTGAATATGGAACGCAATTACCGAGCAGTGAAGCTTTGCACGCCGAGCACCATCGGTGCACACACACATACACATTGTGCGAAAATTTTCATACAATATCAAACCAGTTATTGAATAATATTAAAAAGAAGATAATATATATGTAATAATGCGCGGTACAGCGTTGGAGAAATTTCGAAATAATATGACGGACTAATTTATCAAAGGCAGGCCGTTGTATTCGACAGTGTAAATATTCGCGATGTAATTTCAGTTAATGCATTTTGTTTCGTGAATTATATGTTATCTCTGATTCGCGGGGAAGCGGAATGTGTGACGCGTTAGAGTCATAACGTTAATAAATTCGCGACGATTGCTCGTAATGCATAGAGAGGTAGCCTACCCACATGAAAATAGGTACGTACATTATATTTCAGTAATGTCTTTAGAGAGAGAATCACTACGTCGCGAATTTCGTCCGTAATAAGATCGAGGAGCTGTTTATCCTCAGGTGTAATCACACAAATGACGTTATATATGGCATGACACCTGCCATCGTCACGCAAGAAACCAATTAACGCGAGCATTCACTCGCACATGATAGCGTTTTCGACCGAACTCGTGACACTGTTGCGAAAAATAAAGCCACTGGCTATGATTTCCAGTGGCGAATCATTTATTTTTTCACTTTTATCGCGAGAAAGGCTTACGCGTATTTTTTTCTCAATGGATAAACATTTCCCTTTGTCGATGCACGTTGAATAGCGTTGTCATTTTATTCGACGGCATATATCCGAGTGGACAATGTAGCCGAGACACGTTAATCATTGCTTGAGACAATGACACTGCCAGTTATACATTCTCCATTGTACCTCGCGCGGCTTGACGTGCGTTTTTCTTCCTCCTTTTCTGCCTTCACACGCAGGTTGTCCCGGTAAAAGATGGTCTTCTTAATGAAACTAGTTCGGGCGCGGTAAAACGCGGAATAAAAAAAAGTCTTATAAAAAGCGTGTCGAAAACGCGTATCGAATGGCCAATCTTATCACTCGAAATGGCTAATCTCACGTGACGTGAAATGCCGATGCGTTTCCTATACAGTTTTTAAGAAGATTGTATAAGGAAAACGAAATAAATCTCTCGTATCGGCTTTATTTTCAGAGATATGAAAACGCCCTTGAGCATTATAAATGGCCTCATGCATTTTTACAGCCTTATAATGAAAACTTTTCTCGAGGGGGCGAGTGAAAATGTTGAAACCGTACGACACGTGTGCGACATTCTATTTTATATCGTAAGGGGGACAGATATTTCTGATTAGATCGGGCGTTTCGTTCGCCGTATAAGACAGAGCGTTAATCCACCGCGGCTTAAATTGATCGGCAGATTTATATCACGGAAAGAATGGTTTTGCTGAAGTATCTAAAAATTTAGCTAGATACAGATCTGAAAATAATTTTGTTGCACCATCAAAATAATTATAGTAGGTCGCTGAGGTATGACGACAATGCTGTAAACAATTTTAACATTTTTGCAATCATCAATTTGAGTATTCTATATATTTATTTTGATGGTGCAACAAAATTATTTTCAGATCTGTATCTATAGTTGAATTTTTAGATACTTCAGCAAAACCGTTCTTTCCGTGTAGTAATTTAATCTTTATTAATTGCGATTTTAGTTATGAATATTTACATCGCCATTACAATCCTTTGCCTCTGACAAATTAGCGTTGTATATTGTACGCCAGTTTTATGCAACTGGTATGATTTGTAATTCTTCATCGTATTTTACCAGCGCTGCAAACGATGAAAAATTACGACTATTAATTTGTATACTTTTCAAATTTATCCGAAATACTTTCCAAATAACAAAAGCCAGCTACTACGCAACGCTAACGATATTAAAACAAAAGTGAATTATTTAATACGGTTCCGTTTGTCGGGATTAGCTCGCCGGGCCCGAAACGTTTGGCTTTGATTCACGAAATTTATTCGGGAGGAAAGAAACGGGGATGCCGCGAGCAGCGCGGGGCATCGGGTATTTTTAAACCGACGCATATGAGACACACTAGCTGCATTAACGTTTCGGTCCACGCCGTCGCGGTGACGGAGCTGCTGTCACACAAGGCGAACAAAGTTAGTTGATCTTGACACAAATGCAGGCGACCCACTGCCACGAGCGTTGCTCCTTACGCCGCGTCGTCGTCGTAACTGTCAGTGGCGGGCCTCTCTTTCGCAAACAAAAATAAAGCAGCAGCGCTTTTCCCTGCTGATTCATCCGACCTACGTCCGTGAACCGGATACGGAGTGCAGGCATGAGGACTGCCACATTGCATGACGACGACGACGACGTTGGAATTTATCGGAGTACTCGACCTCTCTTAGTTGTTATGAACGTTTACATGCACGTACTTCGCGAGCGAAATATCCTTCCTGGCGAAATTCTTTTCCCGCTAAAATGCTCTCCACATGGAGATATATTAAAGGAAAATTGAATAAATTGTTTGGCAAGAGATTGAAAAAACTTGAACCAGCAAAAAATACACGTCGGACATTCCGGCACGAAAAAGATTGGCAAACAATTTTTTTTACAAAAAATAATATATAGAGACGATATAATTAACGGTTCAAAAAATCACGCTTTAGTTATCGATAAGTTAATAAAAATAATTGATCATTTATTGGATTATACACGGGGGTATTAAAGAAATGATTTATCGGCAATCGATTTCGGGATACTGATACGGTCAATGAGAATAAATTGAATCTAACGCGATTACGGGTATCGAGTGCGGTATCGGTCGCACATAATCAAGCAGAGACGCGTATTATACGGTCAAACGACTAGCTAACACAAAGCAAGCGATGCGTGTGGCACGCGCAATAAATGAAACCAGAATTTTGTTTGTATATCCACTTAAGCGGGAGTTTATCCGAATGAATATTCGGTCCACATCCGAAGCCTATTAATTCATGTTTTTTCCCCAACAAAGTACCCCGAAAACAAGCCCACGGGGATATCCACAGGGATATCCTGTGAGTGACAGAAGGGGGAAAACGTGCGTAACAAACAATTATATACCTTTTGCTGGAATGGCAATCCTCGAAATGTAAAAAACGCGGAAGCGTAAAATATGTCTCGCTAACTCAATATACCTTGCTGTATTATTTTCTCAAAATTTTGAACAGTAATTCACAAATTCAAACAACATTTTAAATTCTTTTTGATAGCTTTCGCTAGAATAAGTGATATAACTCAATCATCGTTTATATTATCAAGATATTGATTTAATGTACAATATTGTTATTATATTATTTTATAATTACACCAAATCTTTTTATTATAATTTTCTTCCTTCTGAAATTTATATTCTATATTGAGCAAAGTATATATATCTATAATAAATTGGGTTTCGTAACATCTTTCCTTTTATAAAATTTTTGAAAAGTTGATTTTTCCGTC